CCCAAAGGCTTCGGCCGGCAGGAGATCAATGGGATCCTGCCTAGGTGAATGTCAGATGTGACGGTGTAAGTATCCGGATCGGTTCCGGATAACTTGAGGTTGAACGTAGTCTGAACAAACAGCTGCGATATTGTTTTGAAGCCGTCACCGGCTGGGACGAGACTTTTGATATAATGTAACGGCGCAGGCAAGACTACTCGGATCAGTATCGGCGGTAGTGTCACTCAGAGGCATATGGGAGTGCGTGGGACATCAAACGAGCCTTGATTCGAATAGACACCTATAGGCCTTGTACGAAAGGATATCAAAAGTCTACAGAGCTAGCTACAGGGAGTGTCTCCTTATATACTTATCTTAGTCGGATCCGAATCGGATCCGACCTCACAACGAGTGGTTGATGAAGAGGGCGGCGAGTACTACCTCCGATCCGGCTCTGGGATTGGTCCGATACATGGCGAAGTTGTAACATCGTTACAGTGGTCTCCCACATTGGCATAGATCTGTTTCTCTTCTATTTACTCTCTTTAGGTAGGAGTTAAGGTATCCGTGTCCTATCTTAAGAGAGTAGAAAGAGCTTAAAATCTCTCTTTTCGTGCCTCTAGGGATTGCTAGTTGGTTTTTAAGCCTTAGCGTAAAGATAGCTCCGTAGCTAGTCTTCTTTTCTCTTACTTTTTCCCTATATACTTTCTACTCTTCTGCTTGGCTAGCTCGTTAGAGGAGTTTAATTTTTGTGCCTAAGAAGGCTAGGCTTATTTGTGATTTTTTTGGTGTTTGTTTTGTAGCTTCCTTTGCTAAGAAGTCTGCTTTTTCGTTTCCTTCTATATCTGTGTGGCCAGGAGCCCATTTTAAGAAGATCTTCGCTTTTTTATTATGGATAGCTTTGGCTACTTTTTGGCACCGAATTACCCACTGCTGGCCGGGCTTATCTAATAGACTCTGGAGCCTGTAGATTGCAGCTTAGTTATCAGCGTAAACGTAGATATTTTGGCCTTTTTAAGCAGTTTTAGCAGCGAATTCAAACGCTGTTGTAATGCCTTCTAGCTCTCTATTATAGACTAGCTGCTGCTCGCCTATATTACTTGTCGCTGCGTATATTTCTTCTTGGTTTAGGTTATAAGCCACTACGCCTACTCCTATCCCATC